TGCCTTCATTTGTGAAAATATAATACGTTTGTCTTGCTGAATTCTTGTTTTCTAATGCCTATAGCCTCTTCTATTTGGAGAAAGGAGCTAATATTAAATATCCATTTAATCTATAACTATTATTCCATTTTGTGTATACCAGTATTCAAATATTATAATGTAGTCTATTCAAGTGAAATATAGCACAATATTGCATTTTACACTGTAATACAGAGTAGTGCAGTGCATTACGATGCAGTATAGTGTAATTAAATGTATTACACTGGGGAAATGCAATGTATTTGTTTCAATTTCAGTTCATTACAGCCATAATCCAGTCAAGAAATAAAAAAAAAGAAAAGTTTTTTAAAAGTATAATTATTTGAAATTAATCTTTTATTCTTAAGTGATACTTAATGTGGATACTCAAAAAGCATCTGCATTTCTTTTTAATATTGTTCTTAACGATGTAGAATGTTCCTCTTCATATTACCAGTCTGAACATCTGCTTTCTTCTTAGCTTGAATAGTGCAGTTCTCAGGAATATCCTCATTTCAAACAAAATAAAATGTTTTGCAAAGCTTACAAGATTGGGGTACTAAAAACATGTTGGCTGGAGGAGGACAAATTCCAGGAAACTGAATTGGAATCCAATGTAAATGCAAAAAAAGGAGCATATTCAAATCTGGGGCTTCATTGTCTGCAAGGTAGGCCCTGCTCATTCTACAGCTTTAAGTGAAGAAGTTTAAAACCCCTTAGCAGCAATCTTGGGAGATGCTTTCTAACCATTCTATAGTAGACATTTGAAATCTCTCCTCCAGAATGTAACATTATATAATAAAAGTATAAATAAACGTTCTGTAAAGCCTACAAAACTAGGTCAGTGCAATTTCATAGAGAAAGAAAAGAAAATATATCAATCTTAGCTGTGAAAAGAATCATGAGTAAGGCCATGAGGTATGCATTCTCCTTTCTTTTTGTACTGGTAGAGATGGGAAAACTCAGGTGTTGGGGAGGAGGGGCTTATATAAGAGCAAGGTAAAACAATTGGGGAGAAACCCAAAGGTGCTTTTTTTGAGGCAACTGGACCTTTTGATTTCATCCAAGAAATTTCTTCAACTCTGACTGGATGGTGAGCAATGGAAGGATTTATACTCCTTGCTGACAGCTGGACATTTGCATTCTTTTAGCAGGTTATTAAGGTCACCTGGAGGTTTGTCTGCGTCACCAGGGTCACCTGAGTGGTGCAAATTGGTGTGGAGCCACCTTGGAACTGTTGAAAGGACTGTGTTGTAGATTGGAGATAGATGATGCTGCATCCCTCCCCCTCTGTTGAGAGAGGCCTGTTCAGTTTTGACATAGATGGCTTCTTTAACCCCTCTTTCAAACCAGCGATCCTCTCTGTCCAAAATATGGACTTTGTTGTCTTCAAAAGACTGGCCTGTATCTTTTAAATTGGGGAGAAAATAAGAGCTCCTCTAGTCTGTGAAGACCCATTCTTCCTCTCCAACAACCCAATTCATTTGTTTGAATGGCAGTCCATCTCTCCTCTACTTAATATCAAGTTCCAGGCCAAGCCTACTTTAAAGAGATGTTCAATGCCTACCTATTGCCATAAAAACCACAAATTGTGGTCTTGAAATGTTTCTGTAATGTCCAAGTGATAAATAGAAAACGAGAGGCAGGAATTATCCACTTCCTCCTGGAAGATTCATATCATCACAGAAGTGCTACCTGTGGAAGCCGTTCCTTGTATGACATAGTTGCCTGTCTCCTAACAGAATCCAATAATCATCCAGTGGGTTTTCAGATCATTATAGAATCATATAATCTTGATGCTCCACCAATTTACCAGTGCTCCCTCTATGACAGTGGTTGCCAACTGGTGGGCTGCAGCCCACTGGTGGTTCTTGAGAAAATTTTGGTGGGCCACAGCGTGCTGAAGACCAGATGGCTGCGGGGAGGTGGGGCAATCCTGCCGTCTCCCTAGCAAACCCATGTCGTGGCTTCTGCCTCCTGCCTCAGCCCATCGATGAGGCCAAGCAGCAGTGGGAAGAGCTTAAACCTCCTGAGCCATGGGAAGTGGCTGCCAGTGATGCCCTCAGGTGAAGATGTTGCGAGGGGGAGGGTCGGCCCCCTCTTCCTCCTCACCAGAAGTGCTCACATGCCCAGCGGGAAGGAGGAGGCTTGTCGGGTGCCAGAGGGGCGGTGAGCACTTTGCGTGTGAGCACTTCTGGCGAAGAGAAAGAGAAGCTCCAGAGGGAAGGGGGTTGAGCCTCCCCCTTGCGAGGAAGAAGAGAAACTCTGGAGGGGAGGGGGTTGAGCCTTCCCCTCGCCACATCTTCATCTGAGGGCATCGCTGGCAGCTGCTCAACCTTGATACATGGAGGCAGAAGGTAACACCAGTTCCAAGGTTCCTTTACCCCCACCCCCTCGCATGTCAGTGTACACCAGGAAGGGCTCCGATGCTGCAATCTCACATGCGTATGAGTCCATCCGCTCCCCCCCCACCCGTATCACCCCTGTTGCCCCACCTCCCCGCCAGTCATCTGGTCTTCAGCATGTGGCTGGTTGGCCTTCAGACATCAGATTCTCACCATGCAGCACCAGTTCAGAGGTTCCTTTCCCCTCATCCCACCCTTGTGGACAGAGGAGGGGAGAGAGAGAGAGAGAAAGGGAGAAAGAGAGAGATGGGAGAGTGAGGGAAAGAGAGAGAGAAAGGGAGAGAGAGGGAAAGAGAGGGGGGGAGAAAGGGAGAAAGAGAGAGGGAGGAGGGAAAGAGAGAGGGGGGGAGGAAAGAGAAAGAGAGAGGAGAGATCCCGGTGTTTTGACTCTTTGAGTATTTAAGTTTGCAGAAACAGGCAGCCAAGCTAAGTGCCTGAAGGACCCCATCCTGTCAGTGGGAATCCAGGCGCTTCAGTGAACGGCATGCTGGGTTCATATTAGTGGTTTGCAGGATTTAAAATTATGAGTTTGGTGGTCCCTGAGGTCCAAAAGGTTGGCGACCCCTGTTCTATGACAATACAGCAATTTCTCCTGCATCTTAATTCCCACACCAGTCCTGGAGGCAGCAGAGACCCTTATGAGCAGCCTGCAGCTGAAGATAAGTGGCTCTGGCAATTTTATTCTTGCAAGGAAGGGTGAGAATCCCGGCAAGAGAAGCAGGAGAAGGACCCAATTTCTTATTTCCCCTATTTCTTTTACAGTCGATACCAGGAAAAGCAGGGAAAGAGAACCTGAGTTTTCTGCTGGATCAAGGAGTAACTCACTCCTGTTAACTCAGCTATGAGGAAGAGCCTTACAGTAAATGGCTACTCTGAAAGCTTGAGAAGGGAACAAGGGGAAATAAATGATTCCTGTTAGTGATGCTTTAAGAAACAGAAGTGAAGATGGATAGATGTGATTCTGCCATTGTGACCTGCAATGCTTCAGGCATCTTTGCCTGAAAACATTATGCTATATTATCTGTGACAAGTGCAAATGTATAGCATTGATGGAAGAAAAAGGAATGAAAAAGCAAATGGCTATATTTCAGCTTGTAAGAGAAGATGATTTATTAGAGCAAATAAAGGCAGCACTATTCCCCTATAGATAATCATAAAAAAGGGTCTTTACAACAATTTCAGCTCTTATTTTTCTGATTAAAATTGTTCTTTTTCTAGAGAAATGTGAAATGTGAAAACAAATGCAGTTCCACAACTCATTTCTAAACTAAAATCTTTATTCATAAATACACACCCATACATGTCTCCCCACCCAAGTCAAAGTCAAAGTGAGAAGAACCGAAATTGTGCACAGTATCTTATTCTGGTGATATATGTGAAGGATTACAATTCTTATCCACCTTTACAAGTTCTGACAAGAATTGGCCAGAGCCATCTTGGTTCTTAAGTGCTATCACCTAATTCACTTCATATAGAACCATCTCTGGCTTTGTGAACTGCTTCATGTTTTGAGATTTATCTGGTGCTTTGAGAACCATCCTTCTTGAGTCTTTTTAGAAGTCTCTTCATTCTGTCATTATTCCATTTGCTTTATAAGTGGAAATTAATTGGAACAAAACCTGGCGCCTGAATTGCCTGTTTTGCATGCGTGACATGTACTATATCTCACATCCATGCCTTTTTATATCATCATAAATGAGGTTTATGAGATATATTTGAACTATATAACCATATAACCATTCTATAATACAGATAATATGACGGCAGCTGTTCAAGGGAAGGGGTCAGAGGAGGTAATTCTCCATCAGAAAGACTCAGAGAAACACTTTCTGGGGATGAAAGAAACAACGGGAGATGTAGTTTTGAATTAAACCCAGTGGGGACTGAAGATTGAAATACAGAAATAAGAACTTTGATCAGGACTTGTATACTTCAAGAATAAATGAGAGAATGGGAGCATAACTTACCTGGGGCCTATTAAATCACTTAGTGGGGAAATATTGTCTTATAAAATTCATGGCCACTGTCTATAAAGTGATGCTTAGAGTATGAAAAATAAAAGGAATTTTTATCACAGGAAAGCAATTTGGTTTATTTGTCACTCCCAGGGTCCTCCTTTCTTCCTTTCTTGAAAATAAGTATGCTTGCCCTCCTCTTCTTAGCTGGTTCTTCACCCATTCTCCACAGGGGTGGGATTCAAATTTTTAACAACCGATTCTGTGGGTGTGGCTTAGGTGGTGGACATGGCTTGGTGGTCGTGTTATTGGCTAGGCATGGCCAACTCAATATCATTTACATCAAGGCACGCATCTCCTTGCCTGGCCTCTCATGACTGTGGGGATGCTGTAACAGTCGTAAGTGTGAAAAATGGTCATAAGTCACTTTTTTCAGTGCCATTGTAACTTTGAATGGTCACTCCACACAAGCAAAGTACCAGCAAATGAGGGGAAAAAAACCTCCAGAGAAATTCCTGAGACAGGAAGTCTAGTCCTGCCAAGAATGTAATAAGAGTTAATGGAGAGGCAGTTTCTGTAAGCAACACCAGAATGTTTCCCTTCCTTACAGGATTAGGCCAGTAATTTCTTCTAACAACCGGTTCTCCAAACTGCTTAGAATGTTAACAACTGGTTCTAGCGAATAGGTGCGAACTGGTAGAATTCAAAACCTGATTCTCCAGAATTTCTTGGACTGAGAAACAGAGTGAGCTTCAAAAAAACCCATCATCATATTTCCTCTATACACACAGTCTATCTGACATGGAGATCTGAATTTATTCTGGATCAAACAGAATTTACCGGTTATATTTCTACAACTTGAGGTGGCATCTTGCTACTTCAAACAGTTTTTGCACATCTGCTGGAAAGAGTATATATGTTCTTCCTAGAGAAAACTGAGTCAAAATAAGAGTTATTTTGGCTTTGTTCGCTTCCTCTCCCCATTTTGGTATCTTCAATAATCAGCTTGTATTAAGAAATCAGATAAGATAGCTAGATGGCAATAATAAAATTCAGAATTCTGTTGATTGATTAGAGAAGCAATTTGAAAGTAACAGAACCCATGTTATATGAATAAATGCAATTCTTTGCATAGGGAAAAGTCAAATACTTATATGTAAGTAGTAGGCAGGGGTGGTATGCTACCAGTTCTGGCCGGCTCTATAGGACTGAAGAGCAGCAGACACAGAACTGGTTCTGTGTCTGCTGCTGTTTGGCCCACCTGCCCACCCGGGCTGTTATTTGAACTTTATTTCCTGATTTTTCAAACTCAGCTGCTTTGTGCAGCACAGCTGAGGTTGAAAAAGCAGTAAAAAGGTGTTTTTTCAAATGCTGCACACCTGTACACAGTGCTTATCAGCTGTCCGAGTGGCACAGCTTTAAGTGTATTACATGCAGCGCAGCACGCGTCTGGTGCTCATATGCACAGAGCGCACAGGTGCACGCAAAACAATCACCGAACCGGTAGTAACACCAGTTGAATCCCACCCCTGGTAGTAGGGGATACTTGGCTTAGCAATAGTGCGCATGAAAAATGCTGGATTTCAACACATAAGCTGAGTCAACAGAATGATAGCTAAAAACACAGGTGTCATTGGTGGGATTCAGCTAGTTCACACCAGGAGAGGAGAACCAGTTGTTAACTTTCTGAGCAGTTTGGAGAACTGATTGTTGGAAGGAATCATTAGGGCAGAGAACCAGTTGTTAAATTATTTGAATCCCACCATTGACAGGTGTGATTTTAAGCTGAATCAGCAGAATTAAAGCTTCCACATTCCACTGAGAGGTAGTTTGGCACAGGGCAAAACTGTTGGACTAGAACTGAAGAAACCCAGCTTTGAAATGTTTATCAAAAAACCATAGGATGACTTTGACCAAGTTAACTTGCTCTTAGCCCAATGTCACAATGAGGTTGTTGTGATCGATGAAAAGTGCAAATACAAGAGTGCTGTGCCATTGCATTCTCCCACAAAGTATGAAATGATACCTTTGCCATTGGCACGAAAGTGATTTCAACACTGAGAATTGAAAGGGCATCTGCTTGGAAAAGTGAATTTACAATTAATTTTTGGATATCATTTCTTTTCTAGCCTTTCATAGCTTTTTTATTTATTTATTTAGGGCTGGGGGATAATTGCAGAGTCTTTAGTGAGCTTTGAATTCAATTATGCTTCCTTACCCATCATACAAAGACACGTTCAGAATACCATCAAGATATGACAGCAGGCTAGGAAGCCATATAGGTAGTCCTCGACTTATAGCCATTCATTTAGTGACTGTTTGAAGTTATGACAGCTTTGAAAAACGTGACTTATCACCCAATGCTTACACTATGATTTTTCAATGTCCCCATGGTTACGTGATTGTGATCCAGGCACTTGACAATAAGCTCACATTTAAGAAAGTTGCAGTGTCTTGCATGTGATCATGTGATCACCATCTGTGATCCTCCTAGCTGGCTTCCAAGAAGCAAACTTAATGGAGAAAGTTGACTGGGAAAGTTCGAGTCACAATCACATGATTGTGATCACTTAATCATCTCAGTGATTCACTTAACCACCATGGGAAAAATGGGTGTAAAATTGGGTGTGGTCATGTGATGCCTTGCTTAACAACCACATTGCTTAACAATGAATTTTCTGGTCCCGATTGTGGTTTTATATAGAGGACTATCAGTATTAAGCAATTTTTCAATATAAGTAAAATTTGGAAGAAAGGGGTTGAAACATTGCTGCTGTTCTTTTGTCAGTTCCTATCTCTTTGATCTATGCATGTGACACTCAGCTTTATTGTACCTTAAATTCATGCAGCATTTTTAAAATGAGAATTTATTAATATCTTCCAAACATTTTCTTCTTTTTTCCTGTGATATTATTCTAGGTTTTCATCACCTAGTTGTGCAATCCTGATTCCAGATTTACCTGTTTGTCTCTATAAACCAAGCAACAATGCACATGTCCTTAATTCTACCCTTTCATTTATGATAGGTCCAAATATAGTTTTCTGTTTCCTAGAAATACTACCCCCACCCCATTACCATAGCCAGCTTTGTTTTAGTCCTTTATTCTCTTTAAGAACCTATATATTGGAGGTAGTAGAGCAACAGAGGATGCTTTGTTACTTTATTTGCTTTGCATCGATAATACTTCCCATTATGTACACTTCCTAATTCAAACAAGAGCCATGGGAAGTACCTGTTGATAATATTTTTGCTGGCATTTCACTGGACCATAGAGATAAGCAAAGACTTAAGACCACAAGAAAGGGGATTATGCAATTAAATACAGAACATTCATACATTTAGAGAAAGGTCCTTTTACTAGGAAGGAAATGAATGCAGCAAGATTCAGGCAAGATCTAAAGCAAAACTTGTGCAAAAAAACCCACATTGAAACAAATCCCAGAATTCCCCGTCCATCCCAGAAGCCAGTTAAATCATCGGCCAAGAAGATGTTTTGGGGAAGTCTCTGATTCAGGTGCAACTCTCCCCCTTTGTGCATTCCAACACCAATTTGATTGGCCTTGGAAATGCTAAATAACCCAAGCTGTCCTCTCTGAGTCCAAACCTCATTGCTTCACAGAAATTCTGTTTCCACTTCCTGCACGCTTCCCCTCCCAAATGCCAGTACTTCCCCCCCCCCCCGTTTCCATGGCAGCTGGCAGCAAGCTTGAAAGAAAGTAAAGATGCAGAGAGAGACCTACATTACCACTGAAATTAATACTTTCTGTGGAACAGAAATTCTCATGATCAAAATTTTAATTTAAATACTCAACATATATATTATTTTTGCTGGGGTCTTATCTCATTTTTCTCTGTTCTGAGGCCATTGTAGGGGATGAAATTACCACAGAGTCAAGTTCCAGAGTTCTGCCCCCTGAAGGTATCACCTAGTTCCCATTTTCAGAAGCAGTCCATATGCCTCATCAAAGCCCTGTTAGTATTTTACTTTTGCATTTTTGGTTATCATAGTAGTATCATGAGCATAGCACAGGATATTGAAACTTCTGCCTCCAATTTTATGAGCCTCCAATTTTATGGTGAAATCTAACATCACCAAGTCATAGTCTACTAATTATTTGTAGTCGTATTTGTAGTCAGAAACAGTGTACTGACATGTGTTTCTAAGTCAGAACTCTTATATTATACACTTTAGTGCATTTACAGCAACTTTTATGGCTTAGTGGCCCAGTGGGGAGGGGAGTAGAACTGGCCCGTGCAAGCAGTGGGCCGGTGTGTGTGTCGGTGTGTGCCATCTCATCAGTAGTGGGATTCAATTTTTTTTTACTACCTGTTTTGTGGGCATGGCTTAGTGGGCGTGGTAGGGAAAGGATACTGTAAAATCTCCAGTCAGAGGTGGAATTTGCCAGTTCTCCGAACTACTCAAAATGTCCGCTACCAGTTCTCCAGAACTGGTCAGAATTTGCTGAATACCACCTCTGGCTCACATAGCCTGGTGCTTCCATGTCCCACTTCTGAACCGGTAATGGCACAGTAGTGGGCCATGGCCCAAGGATTGGGGATCCCTGCTGTAAAATACCAGGCTATATACCAGTTACTTGCAAATTGGAAAGAGAAAGTTACATGTATGGATCATCTTTTAATATAAAGGATGTTTGTGAATGAGAAAAATACAAGTGGGGAGGGAAAGGATGAGAATGACTTATAGCTCAGAATTCAGTCAGAACAATTGTTAACACAATTCCAAAGAGGGTTGTGATGCAAGTTTGCCATCAAGTGGCCAACTTGCTAACCTGCAAAGGAAATAATGGCACAGGCAACCCTTTTGCTACAATCTACTATCTTTGCACCGTCAGGAATCAGTGTTTATCCAGATATCACCTCTTCAATTATCAGGAGGTGGCAAGTTTAATAGGAGCTACCTGTTTTCAAATAGAAATACGTACCGAGGCACTAAAAACATGCATGAGGACAATGATATCTCTTTCTGAGCCAGGTGTCATCAACTAAGAAATCAAATGAGCATGTAGTGCCTTTTGGGAGCAGATGAACATTATTAGATTAATATTTGACATGGATTTGAAGTCAACAAATTCAGAACCAAACCAAAATGCAAACTTGCTGTGGCATTCAGAATGAAATGCGATTTAAAATTCATAGTACAAGGGCTACTTGATACATTGCTTTTTTGAAATGGCAATTCTTTTTTAATTTATGAGTGCAAGGAATGTAGTTCTTCTGAGGGCACTTCCCCACTAATCTTTGTATCACTCTAGTCCTCACATATCTTTGAACATCCTTTAGTTTTTAGAGCCAGGTCATTTTATTTTGGCTGTGACTTTGGTTTATCTGAAACCACAACTAACATTGTTTTTTGTATCATGGCTGCTTTGCATAGAGCGTTGTGGGAAAAATGGCTGTTTGCAAAATTGCCATTTATTTCACCTTTATAAGTCACAGGCTTTAAAAGGCAATATTGGGATGCAGCATTCCTCTGTTCCAACAGAAAAGTTTGAAGGATTTCTATTTTCTTTTTCTTTTCTTTTTTATACTTTACTTTTCCTTATATTCCTTATATTAAAGGGTTTTTTTTTCTCCTTTCCTACGTTCCTTCCTGACAAGAGCAACAGTT